TCTAACCACTTAGAAGCTAGTCCTCTACCTTGACTTCACTCACCAAGGATTTACTCCACACTCTCCACTAAGAAAACAAGGGTGGCTTAAAGGAGCCACTCAATCCTTTTACAAGAAGAAAAATGTTTCTCTCAAATTTCACCCCTTTACACCTAAACCCCACGAATCCTCTCTACAAATCACTCTTGAAGGATTAATCACACCCCCAACATCATTCACAAATAAAACAAGAAGAGGATTATATGTAAAGATCTCTCAAAGATCAAAAACTCAAGTTAAAACTCATGTAGGTAGGTAAAGATATTCAATACAGTGCTCTCTAAACTTGCTCCAGATATTCTACTAACCATATTTATAACCCCATGGTCGAAAATAACCATTATTAGCCGTTGGGGGTCATTTAATGCTCTGCAGGACGCAAAGCTCGAGTTGTAGGATTGTTAGGAAAGCCGGCTTAATTTCCTAGAGTCGGCTCTAAATAGCCGGCTTTAAACAGCAGGCTTACCATTTCTGCAGCCGGCTTTGCGGAATTCTTGCATTCTGTTTTTTCCGTAGAGTCGGCTTAAAAATTCTACAACCGACTTTGTGGGTTTCCTGCACATTTTGTTTTCTTCCACAGCTGGCTGCAAAGCCTAGAGCCGGCTTTGGAATTCCAACTTTAAAGACATTAAATAATTTTCAAATAACTCGACCGTTGTGCATTAAATGCACCCCCACAGCCGGCTGCAAAGTTGGAGTCTACTTTGCGTGTTTTTTCCACGCACGCCAAAAACTTGCTTTTAACTTTTTACTTGTAGAGCCAGTTGCAGCTTCTAAAGCCGGCTCTTTGCACTTCCATAGCTAGTTGCAAGTTTCAACAGCCGGCTCTATGCACATTTTCAAGCTTTTTGGTCCATTTTTAGTGCAGTTCAAATTTACTTACTTTACAATCTTTTGACATTTTAACTACAAACTAAAATGAACCAATTAGTCACTCAAATATGTTTTGTAATTATCAAAATCATAGGTATAACAAATAAAAGGAAGCTACTTTATGCCTTGTGCCATAGTAGAAACAAATAAAAGAAATTATAAATGAACTGGGTTTTTCATTGGACTTGGGTATAAAAACCAATTGGGCCTAGTTTCATTAATGGGCTAAGACTTGCAAAAACTACCTGAATAAAAAATGGGTTTGTCTAGGCCACATATTAAGGAAGTTTAAAATTATTTTTTATGAATTAATTTACATAAAAAAAATAAAAAGGTAATATTAATTTTAACATGTTATGTATATATTTTTTATTAGATAATTGATAAAATTAATGTTAATTTTTATTTTTACTATGTATATTAATGATAAAATAGTATAATAAATATACTTTTATCATGTATTTAAGGATATATATTTAAAAAATTCTAAAAAATGTAAGAGAAAATTCCTTGAAGGTGCATCTACCAAAATTTTCATTTATAGTAAGTAAATGTTAAATTTTAAGTATGGAATAAGCGAAAATACTCCATTAAAGTCTTTATAACTGTATTAAAATTTTTAAAAGGCCTAAAATATTCCTTTTTAATAAATAATTGAAATGTTAAATACTTATTAATTTTATTTAAATAAATATTAAAATTAAAAAATAACAATAAGTAAAACTCGTCCTTTCTTTTCTTTTATTATTTTAATGAATGATTTTTATTTTAATACTATATTACAATTCAAAATTTTAGTTTTAATTACTAAAATCTAGATTTTTTTTTTTATTTTGTTTCTTTTATTTATTTAATTTTTTTCAATTTTTTAGTTAAAAAAATATTTTAATTTTTAATCATTAACTAAAGTAAAATATTTCAACTAATTATATATATAGTGAGAAAAATAAAAAGAAAAGATTTTGATTACCATTTTTTAATTTTATAATAATTTATTTATTTAGTATTATTTAATAAAAATTAAATGTTTTAATTATTACATTATAAAAGATATTATAAATATTATATAAAATTTTTTTGATATTAAAATTTTGGTATTCAATAATCACAATAGATTTCGACTAATATAGAATCAGTAAATCACGTCAGATTTCGAGAGGAAATTCTCTCGGTACTTATTTTTTCATTTATAAGATTTAAACTTGAAATTATATTTAAAAGTAATC